ACAGCCCAAACACATTTCCATCTCAGAATAAAAGAAAATTACATTCAGTAAAGCTGAAAGTGAGTTTTAATGATACCTTACAATAACCACTCACACATGCAAACCAATTGCTGAGTGTGAAAGCAAAGACAGAGCATCACCCTGTCCTTCTCTTGAGTACATAAAAGAAAAAAAAAAAAAAATCACACATTTCTATGGAGTTTCTGTATATCCAGGTCCTGCATTTTGTCTCAATACTGATTCTATACCCTGGAACTATGCCTGTACAAGGGCTAGCACAGCAAAGCTCTGCTCTACGGTTGTTCTTTTGTGCTAACAGCACAAATAGAAATTGCACAAGACAAATACTTAAAATCATGGGTACTTACTGAAATCTCCTCAGCTTGACATGCCCTCTCGCCTAGTGACTGCGCCAACTCTCCCCTCTATCTATAGGCTGAAAAAGCATTTCCCCAATTGGTACACGAATGAGAACAAGTCAGTTTTGAAGGGGAAAGAAGGAGAAAGGCAGCACTCAAAACTCCAGGGACTATTTACGAATAAGCTGAAGCCCTATAAACTTGGCTATTGAAGAAAGATAATCTGCTCTAGCTTATGCCAAGTGGGTCAGACGAAGGAAGAACCTCAGCAATCTTCAAAGTCAAAGCAGATGGGGAAGTGAATAAGTGCCCATGTGAGCAAAGAGGAAACAGGCTTCTGTTCATTTTAGCTTGTTTCAGAGCTTCAGTTTTCTAGACACCATCAAAAATGACAGACCTTTAACTGACATGAGCAGAAGAGCTCACTTCTGTAACCAACTATTAAGAGAACTGCAGAGTAATTACTTGAGACTGCTATTGATGAAAAAAAATAAATAAATTCCTGGTGTCTGCAAACTAAGGATGCTGCTAAACTGGGTAACAGGGAGACAGGTAAAGTGGAGGAAAAGTGCTAAGAGGCAGAGACTGGGAGAAATGTTCTTTGCTTCATAGCTATGAAAAAACTCTTAGGATTCTTTATCATTAGGGCTTCAGTATCAACGATAAGTATATTTATGTAGCTGTAAAGTAGGCTCTGCTTTAGAGCTAATTGTAGCTCTAATCAGAGCATTTAAAAAAAAATAACACATGATCTCGTAAGTAATTTTTTTACCCTTTTTGAAATAAAAAAGCCAGCAGTCCACACATGCCACAGAATGAACATACACTGCATTCCTCAAGAAGCTGAAGCTGACCTCTTGGTCCTTTCTCAGGCTTTACATCGCTAGACGAGATGTGGGCCAAGCCCATTTCCATACCCAGGGATGCATCTCTGTCTCAGGCTAACCTCATCATCCAAGTGGTGAAACCTAAAACCAGCTAATCTCTCCCAGGGCTATGCTTGTGGAACTGGGAATCCCTCCATCTGCCTCAGCAAAATAAAAAGATCACTGCCTGCAAAATAAACAGCACATTAACCACAGAACAATAGCCCCTCCAGTCAATGTGCTTTGTGCCACCCACCAAGGGCTAACAATTTTCTATCAGAACCCTCCCCGTAAAATAAATAAATAAATAAAAAAAATATTTCATACTTTGAAGAAAGAGCTTGTGCAAGTTGACAACACGCAACTTCTGTTGGATCTGTACCAAGGAAGGACTCCCTTCCTCTCTGAATTCCTGGGAGTTTTGCAAGCTTTCTAAAATCAGAAGAAGCACACCCTGAAGGAGCAAAGAAATACAGTTTACCATGTTGCTTTTAACCAGGAACTTTTAAACTGACTGAACTGGGAACAGTGGAAGAAGGAGGATTATTCAGTGCTACAGTTTGCTAGGGAGATACAGAGAGCCAAGGACACGCTGAGGAGATGCTCGTCTTCCAAAAAAAATATTGCTAAGAGAAACAGGCATCCTTCCACCACTTATTTTAGGAGGAGGCTGCTGAAGTGCATCAGCTATTCCACTGGTGTCTCCATGGGTGTGTTTTGCCCAAGACTTCTGCTGGAAGAGCCAGAGCTGCAAAACTTGTAAGAAAAGTCCACAGGAAGAGGCATTGAGGGGTTGCACAACACAACCTCACTCTAGATACACACATCTTTGTTTATGCAAACTCAAGGGATGATCTGATATTCAAGCTGGGTTATCTGGACCATGCACAAGGCAGGAAAAGGTATATAAAGTCTTTCCTTGTTTTTCTCTGTGTGTGCTTAACTACACATCAATAAATTTGCTAAGATGAGAAGTGTGAAGGAGTGGGGAGAGGCTGTGTTATGGGTAAGAACAAGGGGGAGCTTCAAACTGCTTTTTTTCCTATTATCAGTTGTCATCGGAAGCTGAAAAGTTAACTGCCTTGCTTTATGTAACTTTCTACCATGAGAAGTATAGCTTTTAGCAAAAAAGATGGTCATTCTCACAGCAGCTTTAAATGTTTGAAGATGCAAATCAAGGATTCCCCCATATCCCTCTCCCCACTAAATAAATAAATAAAACTCTGGAAAAAAAAAAGTTAAGCTTGAAGGACCACATAAACTTGGATTTGCTACAGTCAGGCCTCTTCTCTGCACTCTGCTATAGGGGAAGGAAAAAAAATAGATGCAAGCTAGCAGAAACTCATATTGGCTTTTTAATAGCATCTCCACAAAAAGGATTTTATTTTTTTCTGTGGACATACATTTGACCTGGGTCAACAGTACAAAGTGGGAAGTTGAAAAGGGATCACCTGATGAAACAGAAACGCCCTCCCCTCCAAACTATATAGCAGGAATTACAGCCAAGCACCCCCACCGCAGCAAACACAGCAAGAGCCTTCTCGAACAGCACACGTTCTGTGTCAGCAAAGCAGCGTTAATACAAAACTCTACTCAAATAAAGGAGTAATGACCCTTCGGAAAGGGTTGAGCTTCATCAGGCTTCCACCGTCCCAAACAAGGACCATCTAAGATATTCACACCACTGCAAAAATATTATTAAATCAAAAGGAGGAAAACAGTGTCAGCCTCATCCACGTTCCCTCGTTGAATAATGACAGTGCTTACTTTTCCAGCATAACGCATTACTGCTCTGGATCCAACTTTAAAGCAGAGTACATGACAGAATTAATTATGTTCTTTCCTCTTAACTACCATTCCTTGGCTTATTTATTAGCTAGGTCTGCATATATTCATAGATGTGTCTAATACACAAAGTTAAAAGGGTTTAAAAGTGCTGCCTAAATAATTCCCTGGTTTGCAGAGTCCTCTCCACTCTCTGGACAGGCAGTGGCATCAATAAATACAGCCTCAGGCTGCAAATTAGTCACTCCTTAAGCTACTGAGCAGCTGAGAGAGACATGGGGGAACCACAAGCGTGCTGTGACGGGCAAGTGTGTCTGAGAGCAACAAGCTGGTGGATCCCAAGCAACAAGTTATCTCAGATGTGTACCACAGATGGCTCTGCTAAGATCTTTGTGTTTTACTAACTGAGAGAAAAGTCTGCCAGCACATCCAGTTTCAGCTTTGTCTTACATTCTGCTCCTGCTTGTGGTTTAGCAAACCGCCAGGGAGACCATCTCTCAGGACTAGGAAGTCCACCTCAGTGGAGCACCTGCAGCTTGGAGGCCACCAGCCCATTCCTGTGCATTTCTGGAAAAGACAAAAGCCACACTACACAAGATACCTTGAGTTCAGTACCTTGGCAAAGGAACAGCAGATTATAGATAAACTCAGACAAACTACCTAAAAGGAAGACTAAAGGGAACCCAAGAGCCTCTCTGGAGTTTTCTATTTTGCTAAAATGAGGTTTTAAAGCTAAAGACCCATTCACTCTCCTTAAGTCATCCCCAAAGAGGGACAGCTGCCAGGGAGCAGCAGTCCAGAGAAGACTTCTGGTCTGACTGGTTCAGTTTTATTTCACTGAGGTCCATCATCTCAAGGGACAGAGGCCAGAAGCTTCCACACTGACCGTCCACTGGAAGGAGATCAAAAGGGAGAGAGGGTGGGTATTGCTATGGACCCAGCAGCAGCAAACACAGAGAGAGAAAAGAAAACCCTTTCACAGGGACTTTACAAAGAACAGCAGCACTTTAATGTTTGTCAGCATAGATGCTATATTCCCGTGTGAATACTGCAGTCGCTGTTTGGCCTTATCCAGGATTACAAACAACATCAAATACATCAAATCAGTTGCATATCTGGGGATGAACTTGTTGCCTTCCATCAGAGATCAATTGAATATTCTCTCCATCGCAGAAAAAGGGAACTACAGTGTATTTATGGCACAGCAGCACGCTTAGCTCTTCCACCCACCATCCAAGCCACCGCTGGGTTGGACTTGGGCTCACAGGAAATCCCTTTGAGTAGGAGGATCCCCTGCTGTCCCCAGCAGCACAGGAACTGGGTTTGCAAAGGTATTTATAAGTAGGAAAGACCATGTGCTTGCAATCAACACTTAGAAACCCTGTTTATCACCGACCAGCTTGAATTTACCATTTTAGAGGTATAGATGGGGTTCAGAAGACAGAAGGGGAATATTACATTTATTGGGGTTCTACCATCTTTTTTGGGCTAAAAAAAACCCAACGAAACAACAAAACATAAAACTCTCAAGCTTCTTATGATTTGCCCTCCATGCCAGAAACTCCTGCCTAGAACTACTGAGGGATGAGAAAGGGATGGAGGAAAAGCAACTGTATCTACAGACCTGGAAGTATTAAGGCTTTGTTTTCCTAATGAGATTATATTAAGTGATACCAACAAAATAAGTTGACTTTCCAGAAAGAAAAACATAAATGCAGAGCATCCCCTGGAAAAAGAAATTTTATATGCAGATGAAAGCTGTATTTCATTATTCTGCACCACGTCCACTTTATTTGATTAAATTAATAAATGAGGTCCTTATGTCATACTACAGGCATTACCCCTACTTTTGTTTACTACATCTTAACCACAGCACACGCAGCACAGCTGGCTGGCAGCTCACAGTTACAACACAACATGCAGAAGAAGTTAAGATAGGGGAAGTGATTCTAAAAAACCCACAAAAAAAAATAAATCTTGCTTCACTTACCTAAGCAAAGTTGTCATTAGAGAAGTTTTCCAGTACTAAAATCCAAGAAAAAAGGCCTAAAAAAAAAAAAAAAAAAAAAGAAAAAGGCAAAGGTTTAGTAAGTAGGATAATACTCTCACTCACTTTTCTGGGGGGGAACATGAAGAGTCAGTGATCTAAAGAAAAAAATAAAATAAAAAAACTCCATCAATTGCATTTCAGATAGTTATTTGTAACAAAAAGGTGCTCCTCAGGCAGCAAACATATCAGAAACAATAGGGCAGATTTTCCACCGCTGTTGCCAGCATTATACCAGTGCAATTCCTCAGATGTCAATCACGCCGGACTGCAATAAAAGTAGTTATCCAGCAGACAAGTCAGGCCTAAGGCAATTAGCTAAGCTGCCCCATTTAGATTTTCAGTCATTTGTCATTCCCGTCGAGCTGCATTATCAGAAAGTCTGGACCAAGTGGTGGGGTGGGAAGCGAGGAGGAGTCACCCATCCCAGGAAGGCTCAAGGTGGCAGGAACCAAAAGTATTGCTTATAAAAAATTATCCAAACCACCCCACGGCTAATTACAAAAGGCTGCAAGGCAGCATGTGCATCGATATTAAGAAAGCTGTGATATACACAGCTTCATTATAGGCATAATAACCCTATAAGTAATATAAGCACAATGCATGTCACTGGCAGAAATGGTATGTGACCACCACAGGTCTCGCCAAAATACCGCTACCGAAAAAAGCACTCAAGGCTTGTAAAGACTCATGAATGCAGACACAAAAAAAAAAAAACCCACCCTCAACCACCCAAACTAACTGAATATGGATGACTGCAAGCCTCCAAATCAAAGAGGGAGTTGATCGCTGTTTAAGAGGAAGAAGTCATTGCTTGTTCCAAGATTAAAAACTTATAATTCTGGCCCCGGCTGAAGCACTATCATTCACTAATCTGGTACAATTTAGTCGGGCTGATCCTCCGCTCAGACAGACAGGCCATTATCAAAAGTTCCTCTATTCATTTCGCTTCCTGTTAGCCAGTGAAAGCCCCTTTTATACGCTCCTCGAGAGGCTGTTAAAACCAGGGAAGACTTTCCGATAGAGAAGATAAGGTAGTTGGATTTATTCATGAGAGGAGGAAGGGAAGCCAAGCCGTACAGGCTGATTACAGCCGCTCCAAAGCTGAAAAGTGGAGCTTTGGAGGAAGGAGGTGGAAGATGATGGATTTCTTACAAATAAGCATTATACCAACAGCATTATCCTTAGAACTAGGCGTTACCTCTCCCCTCACATCCAACTACAAAATTGAGATTTTACTCTTAAGTTGGCATCACTAAATATGCACATGTGGTTGAATAATTCAGAAGTACACAGATGAAGCAGAATGAGATATTTTTGAAAAGACTGAGCAAATAAAATATAAAAAAAAAAGAAAAAAAAGAAACAATACCTAAGACCAAAAGGATAAACAAGCCAGAGTTAGAGGGAAGATGCTGCCTAGAAATGCTCTCCAGATTAAGCCCGTTCATGTATAATTTTAAGGGTCAGATGCTGCTCTTATTGTCGACACGAGCACTCAGACTTCAATGGAGTAGGATGGCGATTTCCACATTATTTAACATGTGTCAGCAATTTTGAACAGTTGCTTTGCAGATTCTTAGAGCTAACCAAGCAAAACCCCACCACCGAGAGCCCAGTATAGTACTTGGCGGATGAAAAGCTGCCTGGAAACTCTATCAAGACTCTGAAAAACATTCCCCCTATTAATATTCAATCTGGTATAGCTAAAATAGCTTTAGAATGTAAGAAGAGAGAAATACAAACAAAAACATATTTCTCAAGCTTAAGAAGGTCGAGCCAAAGCAGCAAAGCTCTACCAAAAGTTAGGGCTAACAATGATGGTTGCAGGGGCAAACCCTGCCTCTTCCTTCCCCTCTCCCAGACTATTCTTCTCTGAATGAATTAGCAAAATAAACAAGAATCAAAACACTCACAGCAGAAAATAGTATGTGGCTTTAAAAGGAAGAAAACAACTCAGCTATACTTCATCATTACTCCATCCGGCGCAAAAACACGTCAAGTCATTAATCGCTTTCCTCTCTGACAATGCTAAATGAGATCAATACAAGGAAAAATAATAAAAAGTTTTTTCAACAGACTATTATATGGACAGGAAGACTTAAATGACAAGGTGGTGCATTTTTGAACAGGCACCAGTTGGAATCAGACAGGGATGGAGTGCAAATCTCTACCAGGCAGGAAGAGGGAATAACCAAACGCAGAATGGTACGAAGACCCAATGGAGATGGTCCACAGGTTGCCACGTGGAGAGTGAAGTATCAAAGATACTCATGTAAATAGGGACAAGGCTGCCAACGGCTGACAAATTACCTCTTGCTTTGCAGAATGCCAACATGCAACCAAAAAGCAAAGAGCTCCAACAAAATCCAGAGCTTATTCTGATTCGGTTTCTCCTTTGACGATATCATTAACTCTATACAAAACTTCAGCGCTTCAGTTTGCTCAACATCATGTAATTTCTTCTCAGTGATCGAGCGGAGAATTAGGGAAGCAGGGGAACAAGAGTCGCTTTCTGTTCTGCTACCAACCAGCCGGCATCTCAGCCACATCACCGGGGACGGAGCTCGGCTGGAACTCGCTCTCCTCGCTTCCTGCTGCAGCCCACAGCTCGCCTGTTGCAATCACCGACTTCAAAGGTAAACTGCAGCAGCAAAGTTGGCAAATGCTCAGATTTAGTGGGTATTTCAGAAAAAGCTGCCAAGTCTCAGATTCCCCCCCACACACACAGTAAATAAGGGTAACGCCACTCACTATCTTCACGCCCACTTTGCAGCCCATCGGCTGAAGAGACAACACACTGTTATAAGTCTACGATGTACAAAAGCAATCGTACCTATTACTTAATTTGCAGTTCAGCAGCCTTAATAAGGCCAAGTTTATCAAAGCGCAAAGGGTGTTTCCTACGGTGGGAATGTCGTAATGGGACAAGACACAGCCTGCTTGTTCTGCACGTTCTGTAAGATCATTGGGTCTTTCTTGTCACAAAACAACTCTTGTTGCACCAACGCTTAATTAAAAACAAGTGAGGAAAGTGCATCTAAACCTTCCCATTTGTTTTCAAGCCTGAGGAACCCACACTCGTCAGTTGCAGCCCATGAACCATTGATACTCACTGCATTGCATGGAGATGAAGAGGCATGGACTAGATGTTCCTCAGTCAACTCTTTTCAACTTGATAAAGACCCAACTGCACCAGGTGCTACAGCTGATGTGAGGGAGCCAGACTAAGTCTGGACAGTCTTCCTCTCCAAATTTACACACCACAAGAAAACAACACCACCAGGCCAGTGTCCACTGTTACGGAGTTGGATGCAACTAATTTTGTTCAGTTAAAATATGACTTCACACACATGACAGTTTCAGGAAAGCCAAAGAAGAACAGGTTTACTTGGCTCTTACATTTCACTGCTCATCTTCTGCAAATTCAAGGTTGCTTGTTGTGATGATGCTAGGGTTTGGGGTTTGTGGGGTTTGTTGCTTGCCTTTGGGTTTTGTTTTTTTTTTTTTTTTACAACCCCAAAACCCAAAAGTTCCTGCTTCTAAAGACCATGTTAGGTTTTTCCCCCTCCTTCACAGTCCTGGCTTTGCATACACAGATGCCTAGTTTCTAGCCTTCATACTGTTAGACGCTACACTTGGAATAGCTGTGACTGAAGGCAGTGGAAGATTTCAATAGTAGTTTCTTTGTCACTCCAAGAATCTGCTTCACAACACAAGCCTGCAATTCCAGATTTCTGCATACATCGTGAGGGGCAAGTGGCACGGACGCTTAGCAGCGGCTGGACTTCAGCACGTTCTGCAGTAGCCCCACTTAGTTAAAGAAGGTTCTATCGGAGCTCGGAGATGAAAATTGGAAAAGAAATTTAAAAAAATAAATAAATAAATCAGAGAGTAAAGCCCATAGATGCAATTCAAACCTTGCAAACTCCCGATGTTTTGAAAGAGCATGGGTTTTCCATCTCATCCTCTGAAGGAAGCTGCAGCACATGCTCAGCGGTGCCAGAGAGACGAGAGGGCTGCCAGAGCATGCACAGGAGAAGGTTTGTGTGCAAACAGAATAAACAGCCTCTACTAAATTCTTGTAACCAATTAAGCAACAATTCTCCACTGAGAATACAGCATTGCCCAGCTGCTTACCTAATCCTCAACCCCTGCTTCTTGAGCTGGCTTTCAATGTTTAAGTCTTCTCTTCAGGAGCAAAAGACGAATGCATGCCGATTCTCTAGACATCCTTATTAAAAGGCAAATAAAAGCCCTCCAAAGATTGTCAGTACTCAAAAGTGACTTTAATACTAATGAGCTTTTACCACCAAGCCTGCAAACATTAATACACGTGAGCAGCCATGCTAAATCCGCCCAAATTACCTATCTGCAAGGCTCTCCTCCAGCCTGAACTGGACTTCAAGCCAAGGGAAGACTAAACCTGAAAGATGACTATGGACTTCTGTGGTCTCCATCCTCATGTTAAGCGTGACGCTAAGCAGATGCTGCTTCCTCTCATGTAAAGGAGAAAGAAAAAAAAATAATCAGAAATAGCACTTATCTGAAAAAAGCAAATATTTTAAAATAAGAACTGCTACTGTTCGTAGAATAGCCTGGAAAAGAGATACATCTGAAATCCCTTTAAATTTATGTATTCAGTTTTTAAACTGCATACGAGTCAATCTGACAAACGAGCTTAGTTAGACTTGCTCAAACGAAGCTGAGGGTCCTGTCCCCCACCCTCTTCCTAAGTAAGCGAGCACAACTTTCTGGCATAGACACTAGTGTGTGAGATTTTAACATTCCCCTTTCCATAAACAGTCATACATCAAGCTCTAAAAATTTGCTTCACAGAAACATTTGCGCTAGTAAAACTCAATTATTCTAATATTTGTATGACACATGCAGGAGGGGTGCATAAAAAAAGGTTATGGTGAGCTCATTTAAGAATTTAAACAAGTACTTGATAAAAAAGTTTTTGAATTATTCACTCAGCTCCACTATTAAATCAGGC